CCCCCCCCCCCCCAATAAAACTACCTGATTGAACCGAGCCGTTTCGGATGCTGCCAAAAAGCAGTGCGGAATTTGCTCTCGGGTCGTTTCAATTCCGACTTGTATCTGAAGCTCAGATGAGGGAAATGAAATGCGGTGATTAAATCCTACGCTTTCTGCGGTTACCGGAAGGCGTTAAGCAAGGAGAACTTTGTGCCAGAATTGTAAAGCCAAATGGGCCACCTTTCAACTGGGAGGATATGGGGGGAAAGCAGTCGAAAACACCAGTTAGTCCTGTCAGGCGGCTGAAGTTGGTTCCTATTCCTGTTCCGTTCCTATTTCCTTATTCTCCAGTTCAGTCACAGATTTTTGGGTTTTTTTTAAATGATTTTTAAAATAATTTTACAAACAAAAGATACAATACACTACTACAATTATACATATAACATGGAGAATCATCTTATGCAAGCATGAACATGGGCAATCATTTATAATCATCCACAGTTATTGATGATACAGCCACAGATATTGATGATACAAATGGTTCTACATCCCCCAAAACAAGCTTTAGACCTCCCCAAACCCTCAGAATTGCCAAAGAGGGAAGACTGGGAGGCCCTGATCACCCTGGGAGCCCATGGAGCTAGGCAGATCACTTTATTTGTTTTCATATGACATTTGAAATATAAATCTGGAAGGTACCTCAGGGGTCATCTAGTCCAACCCCCTGACCTTTGCAGGAAATTCACAACATCTCCACCCACTCTCCCAGTGAACCCTGCTGTATGCCCAGAGGAAGGCAAAACATTTCCAGAGTCCCCGGGCGAATTGGTCCTGGAGGAAAATTCTTGACCCCAAAGTGGTGATCAGCATTACTCTGGGCATGTAAGAAAGGGCCACAAGAGCTGAACACTGTCTCATCCCTTCCTGCCCTCCTCGTGATCTGCCTCATTCACAGAATCATTCAGATGGCCATCGAGCCTCTGTTTGAAAACCTCCAAAGAAGGAGAGCCCACCACCTTCCCAGGAAGCCTGTTCCACTGAGGAATTGCTCTGCCAGGAAGGTTTTCCTAATGTTTAGCCGAAAACATTAGGTTGGGTCTAAGTGGTGTGCGGCAGCCAGAGAGGCGATCTCTGGCAAGAGATTCATCATGGCTAACCCTGCTGGAAACTGGGAACCTGTCTCGGGTGACTTAAGCAGCGGTGGAAATTCACAGTGCAATTCCTATGCAGACACACAGCCTGGAATAACTCTGTGTAGGATAGCACTGAAAGGCAATGGTTGAAAAAGGGGAGGGTTTCTCTTGAGAGAGAGATACCAAAATTTTTGTTATCTCAAAATCCTGCTCATCCCAGTTCTGTGTCAGTCTCCACTGCTTCTGACCAGCACAGTACAAGCCACATAAACAAGCTCCAGTAGCCCTATTTGTCTGTAGCAGTAGAAAAGAGCAAGAGTCCAGTAGCACAAAATTTGTGGCAGGGGGTCAGCTTTTGTTTGTCACTGCTCACAGGTATCTGAAAAAGTGAGCAGTGACTCATGAAAGCTCATACCCTGCCACAAATGTTGTTAGTTTTTAAGGTGGTACCTGGGCTCTTGCTCTTTTCTAGAGCGTCTAGATAATGTGAAGGAGAGTCTGCCACTCATCTATGATTTTTATTAATTGTATTTCAGGAGCCATGTCTTCCAGCAGGGGGGGGGAAACTATTACGGAGGGAACTTTCCGTGAAGACTGTCATTGCGGCTTTAATTATCGATAATATTTAAGGTCATTGTAGGGCATAAGGGCAAAAGTCCTAATCCTGTACTTAAAGTATTCTAAATGCATATCATTGTACATGGATATGATCTTTGGCTCAGTCTGTTTTCTCCAGTCCTGCTGTAATTTAGACTGTATGTTCCTTGAGGCAGGGATATAGTTTATATTTTACTCTATGAAGGCCTATGTACATTGATGGCTGTCTAAATACTACCAAATAATAAACACAAAATCATCCAAGCGACTGAGAGTTTTATAGGTTGAAACCATCATCTTGAATGATGCCAAGAAATTAATGGAAAGCCACTGCAGTATACACTGGAGCTTCGACGATGTCATGTGCTGGGTGCAGAGGCACACCACCGTGTTGTATGCCAACTGGAGCATCTATATAGTCAAGGACAACCCTACATAAACAGTGTTACGAGATCTATCGAACTATGAGATTACAAAGACCCCAGTCATGGTTGTTGGGTCTATCATTGCCAGAGTTGTGAAGAGGAACAAAATGGAACTTGTGAAAGGGAAATCTAACTATTGTTACATGCTACTTTCCCAGGTGCTGCTGTAGGTCCAGAAGTATGCCAAAGGATTCAAAGATTACTTAGCACACCAATTAGTTGGGAAACAAATCATAAATGTATCTCAGTACCTCTCCTTTTGCAGTAGTTTTGTTTTTAAAAAGGCAATTACACCTCTTATTCCTGGCACTTTCCCACCTCTGTTTCAATTCTGTATGCATAATAAGATTCAGGCAACAGAGTCTATGTAGTTTGAGGACGTTCTCTGGTATCTTATCTACCTTCAATCTTCCTCAAATGTTACATCCTGGAAGTGGTTGGGACACACATTAAAAGTTTGGTTAGATGTGTAAAAACTGAGAGTGAATATGTTATCACTAACAGATGAGACTATGATACACTCTACATTTTTACAACATTACGGTAGGATTTCAATAAACACAGAGATATGTTTTCAAGTCTGTAGGTTTAAAAATGTATGCAGGTAATCCATTAATTTGAAATCAGTTTTAAAAACAATAACTTTGAAATCCCAGTCAAGTAAACGTTCATGATGTTCACCCAGCATGAGGAAAAACATGCATTGATGTACCTGACCTCAGTTTGGTCACAAATTATGCTTAAGTGGCAACTTGGAAGCAATGCAGCCATTCAACAACAATAAAAAGTTAATTTATACCCTGCCTTTCTCCCAAGGGGGGGGGAGACTTAAAGCAGCTTTTATTGTTCTCTCCTCCATTTTTTTCCGCACAACACTCCTGTGAGGTAGGTTAGGCTGAGAGACCAAGATTGGCCGAAAGTCACTTTGCAAACTTCCATGGTAGAGTGGGGGTTTGAACCTGGGTCTTCCAGATCACAGTCTAACATTCTAACCATGGCATCACACTAGCTCTCTGTTTTCTGTCTATTCAGTAACAATTAAATGTTCCAGAATATTAACTAGTAAGAGGTTGTTATTTGGAAAGTAAGGAGGACAAATCTGTGTGGCCTTTAAACATGCACCTCTCAAACTTGCTATGGGATCCTGTTTCTGCAGAGGCACGTCCTTGTGGTGATATTTGGAGAAATATGGAAGAGAGATAGAAAACCTGTAACTGAACTAAATCAGTCTTTACTGAGTATGTCAATGGCCAGAAAAAACAAGAGGGGAAAGTAGATTTCCGAAATGCAATTCAGTTAAATTAGTTACACAGTCCAGGAGTACAATGGAAAGCAATTAAACAATGTTGAGAGGAAGTGTTTAGTTAGATATGTCCACCCATGGCAAATTCAAGTAGAACCCACCTGTGAACCTAAGTATGGTGTCCTCAAAAGGGGGGATAAAGGAGAAGGGGGCAACGGAGAGGAGAGGAGATAACAGAACATATTGCAGTGAAAGCTGAAAAAGGGGTCAGGCTGATCAGACAAACTAGGGAAGAGTGAAAGGAGAAAGGGCCAAAGGGGTGCAGAATGAAACTTTGGGAGGAACAGAGAGAGAAGCAGCACTGATATGATGCCCAGGGCCAGTCAGTAGCAGAAGGGGGGGAGAGAGAGCAGAAAGAAGGTCTCTGGAAGAAAGCGAAGGAAGAAAGAAACAATAGTGCGTTTGGGGGGGGGGCGCGAACTGGGCATCGTGTGAGAATGATGAGGATGGGGAGAGAAAGGTTAATCTATTGCCTGATCCTGAAACGTGAGTGCTGTCAAGAGTCATAGTGTTTGAAGGATGGTCGTGTACCCAAAGTTCATGTCCTTCTCTTCCAGTAGCAGGAACGAGGTTTTCATGATACTTGAGTTTCTTCAAAGGGAATGCTCAGTGGGCAGGTGATAAAGATACTCAGCTGACTGAAGACTTGATTCGTGTATTGGGGGGGGGGTGCTGTCAAGTCACAGCTGACTTCTGATAATCCTGTGGGGTTTTCGAGGCAAGAGATGTTCAGAAGTGGTTTGCCATTGCTTGCCTCTGCGTCGCAACCCTTGACTTCCTTGGTGGTCTTCCTTCTGAATACTGACCAGGGCCGACCCTGCTTAGCTTCCAAGATCTGATGAGATCAGACTAGGCTGGTCTGTGTTATTTGGGACACTCCGTGAGTGCAGAGGGATGTCAGGTTATGGTCCCATAAGTCATTCATTTTGGTTTGGAGATCCCATGGAGGCACAAGACAGGTCCTCAGTGAAGGGGAGTGAGAATTTCTCATGGGAACCTGCCTGTTTCATCATGAGCTGTTTTTTACTTATTGAACTTAATGGCCCTTACTTCCCACCTTGATTTCCTGGTGACATCCACAGTGGCGTCTGCCTACACCTTTGGTGACATAGGCTCCAGGGAGTGTAAGGGGTTCTGGAGGTAACACAGTGTTTAAATTCTGATTGTAGCAAAGAGTATTTGGCACAAAGGAAAGAATAACATGCAAAAGCTACAAAATGTTTATTCTTTATCTTCAATCTACAACTGACAGGGCCAACTGATATTCAATCTACATCTTTGACAACAACTTAATTCAACTGGAGAGGATGATTAATTATTGTTATATCTAATGCCCCTACACATGTTTAGTCGGAGAATACTTCACTGGGCATTGGGAGACCATGGAGAGCAGCCAGTATATTTTCTACAGCTTCCTCGGTTATCATATAGGTAGTTTTGTGTGTTCTGGAACCAAGGTGAGGGGTTAAAATAACATTCCTTAATTTTAATAATGGGTGATCTCTGAAAAGAAGAGAATAAAAAGACAGCTGGTTAAGACAGTTTCACTCATCCTAACAAATGCAGTGTTCAGTTCAAAAGAAGTAGGTAGGGCTGTCTACCATATAAATTAGGAGTAGGCAACCTTCAGGGCCCACAAGCTGAAAAAGCAGGACATCAACGTTTTCTTGCACTGCTGGTCTCACATACTGGGTCTACTCCAATTTAAAGCTGTTTAGTCAATTAAATACTTTTAGTTAATTAATGCAAACAAATTTGCATATTACCAAAACTCCAACATCAGAATATGTCCCACAGTCTTCAGTTAACAAAGAATCAAAGAAAGGCAATCTTTAATACAAGTGAGGGACCCACAAGGACTTGCGAGGGGTATCTAATTTCCCCTCCTCCACTATTTCTTCTGTCCTTTCCCTGAAATTTTCCATAGCCTCTCCTCTTTTCCTGTTCCTTCTGTCCTTTCCACCCACCAGCCAACCTGCTTCTATCTGCCCATGCCTTCAGCTTTCCCTCCTCCTTTCCCTGGCAGACTCTCACTGGAAAAACAGTGTGTGATGCCAGCTCAAAAGCTCTAGGAAGAGCCCTTCCGCTCCACCTGCCTTTTACTGACCAAAGCTAAGGCTTGAATGCTGGCAATAGTTGCCTAGCCATCCAGACTCTGGCTACTGAGAGGGCATTCATTTCATAATGCTAAAGGTGCTGTCTCTGTCATTTGGGGAGGTTTAAAAAATGCATTTTTTAAAATGTCAGGTTTTTCTGCAAGTTTTTCAGATTTGTCGAAATGTCTGTCTTGACTGCCCATAGCCCCAGTCCCTGGGTTTAAGTGTCCACAGATTTGGCCATGTTAACAATTAGATATATTTATGATTATCAGTTTCATTCCCTCATACAGCAACACACCGCAGCCAAAATGGCTATTAAAGACAAACAAGCACACCCTTGAAATCTCAGTTTAGTTAATTAAAATTTGCTCCCACTAGTCAATTAAAGCTGGAGGGGGGGGGGAATCCATTAGTGCCCCATGCCTGTCCCCTACACACCAGGCTATGCGAATGGCTGCCTGTCAAGTACGGAATGGCACTCCTCCTTTCTTCCCTGGTCCTGGCTGTTAGTTTGACAAAGGATAGGTGCTGTTGCTCTGTGATGCCACACAACATTCAATGATAAAAACAAGAAAGGGGAGGGGCTGCTCTCCACAGTCTCCCAGTGGCCAGTTGAATGTTCCTTGATCAAACATGCTGCAGGGCATCACACAGACTGCTGCTGTGTAGACAGGCCACAGATTCGAATCCTGACCAAGGAAATTGTAAACTCAGGCCTGTATCTGTCTGCTGCTGCTGTCCTCCCACCTATGGCGCTGACGTTTTCCCCTGGTTGTGCATTGTTGTTTTGGAAGCAAACGAATTATGTTGGGATACTGTCAGCGCAATACGCTGTAATTAATGGGTGTCAGCAGAGTTGCCATGGGTGTTGTGGGCGCAGCTGTCGGCGTTATCTCTTTGTTTCTGAGAATTGATAGGACGGAGGCTGTATTACACAGGCATAGCTGTGGTATAGAAGTTGTTGTTTACTGGAACCACAGGATTACTCTGCAGATCGATAAGACCGAACCTTGCAGAGGTAACCTTAATTTAACAGCAGTATACACTATTTACTCCCTTTGGGTTTTGGTCATGAATAGAAGCATGTAATGCATTAGGTGGTTTCTCTGAATATGCTTCCGGTTGCAAGTTGTGATAGAGGTCTGGGGTGCCAGACTCAGCTGTCATTCCCCGTCTCCATGCTCTTCTGCAGTTTTTGCACAGTGCTCATGGTCATTTGAATATTGAAACCTCTGAATAAACAGACGTTTACCTGGGCAGTGGTTCAGGATAAGTGACATCCAGAGCGGTACCCTTAATAACACCAGTCTGAAGCGCTTCCACGAGGGCATCTTGGTCCACAACCGATCCTGTACAGAAGTTACCAAGTTAAAAGACATTTAATACAGATTAGTGTACATTTAGTATAATATCCAATGTGGAGCTAGTGCGGATGCTGCTTACGGCATATATAAACTTCTGGAGGGCTTATATCCTTTGGTGCCTGCAGTGCTTTTCTTCCCATAATCACTGCGGCTTGTACAGTGAAGACTGTCAGATGACTCTCTGGAGAACTCTCCTAAAATCATCGTCTTAGATTAGATAATAACCTCAGCCTCCCCTGCTTCAAGCGTTCCATGGTGCCATTTCCATCATGGGTGCTAGATGCGGTTGATTTAATTCCATCAGAGTTATCAACAAGCCCTCCTGCCATGAGTTTAGCATACACTGGAGTGGAACTAACTGCCGAGCTGCCATTAGGTATAGGTACATTTTAAATTACTTGCTTAAAATTTCAGTCTTCTTGTAACTAATGTCTTAATGTACACTTAATGTACACTAATCTTTTATGGAATTGTGTACGGTTTTACGACATGATATAAGCCGCCCTGAGCCCACTTGCAGGATAGGGCGGGATAAAAATCGCAATAATAAATAAATAAAAATATTCAGTCCCTTAGATGTTAAATGCACAGCCCATTACAATAATCCCAATGTGATCCCCAGCAAATGAACAAGGTTTGCCAGACTCTTGTCATCATCAGCAACAAGTACTAAAAGATGAGCCTCCCTTGAGCACAGGTGATGGTTACAAACATGTTGCATTATTACTTAATAGGAAGAATTTTATTGTCCCCCATCCCAATGTGAGCCCTCTATCAGCTTCTCAATTTCATTCTGTCCTTTAACCCATCTAAATTGGAGGTTGTATTTTCATCAGTTCAGTCTATATCTTTTGGATTTCTCAGCACAGAAACTTGCTTTGATCAAACTACTTGCTTAATTAGGCATTGCAATGCAATCTGGTCTAAAACTCTCCATTAATAAATGTTGGCATCTGTATCTATTCTCCATGACACTCTGGATGTAATATTTAAACTGTAGTTTTGTAAAGGATAACAAATAATCCTGCTAGTTCATCAGATACGTAATATAGAGTTTTCCCAGCAATTTTAAATCAATGCATCCCTATAACAGGATAATATAAATGTGCATATTAATGTTACTAATTTTCAACTTATAATGCATTGATCAGCTTGTATGAAACCTAGGGAGTAATTTGTGGTTCATGTGCATTTTTACAGCAGCTATTTCATGACGTACCTCTAGAGATATTTATGAGAGTAGCTGTTGGTTTCATTAGTTCTAGCTCCTTTTTCCCAATCAGTTTGTATGTCTGAGGTGTTAAACTGACAGCAAGCATCACAAAGTCAGACTGCTGGAGCAAATCTTCTATCTTCCCACAATAGCAGGCACTCACAGCCAGTTCCTCATCTTCTTTCCTGAGAGAAAATAATCATTATGCCCTCTTTGACAAGTACTTCCTTATAGGAAAACTAGATTTTTGTTACAGCTGGCTACTCCATTTGATAACAGCTATTGTGATCATTAGGAGCTGCGGTGGCTCAGTGGTTAAGACGCTGAACTGCAGGCTGGAAGGTCGGTAGTTCAGCAGTTCGAGACTTGAGTGCCGCACGACAGAGTGAGCTCCCATCTCTGGTTCCAGCTCCTGCCAACCTAGCAGTTCAAAAGCAAGAAATTGCAACTTGATAAATAGGTACCGCTTTGGTGGGAAGGTAACAGCATTCCATGCGCCTTGGCGTCTAGTCATGCCAGCCACATGACCATGGAAATGTCTTTGGACAGCGCTGGCTCTTCAGTTTGGAAACAGAGACGAGCACCACAACCCTTCAATCGTATTCGACTGGCTTTCGAGCAAGGGAGCCTTTACCTTTATTGTGACCATTATCTAAGGACCTGTTCAAATAAGAGGCTTTAACAAGTGTCTTCCTCCACCTGGATACTGAATTGTAGGTTGCTGATTGGTCATCTTTTAGAAATTTCTATTCTGAAATATCCAAGGAAGAGAGACATGCAGTGCAAGTGTAGCATCTTTACTTGGAGGTGAAACAGGTAAGTCCCACAGTATTTAGTGGGTCTTACTCCCTGGTCAATGTGTTAAGGAGTGCAGACTTAAGCTCCTCCCCATGTGTCTTCACAGACTTGTCCCTGCTACCAAAAAGAGGGACAGATATTTAGATTTTCACATTATTTCTTATAATAATCCTAACTACATACTGTATTCTTCAAGCAAACACATATTTAAGATGCTAGATAGAAACTTCAGTGCTTTACAATGAATGAGAATAATATTTAAGTTTACCCTGTACATCCTGACAGTATCCCTAAGTTTACCCTGTACATCCTGACAGTATGCTAGCAAAGAGCTTAATTAAGAGTTACTTAAGAAATGTGCAATTCATAGGAAACTAAATAATTTAAGGAGATAATTGGGCCCTTCAAATAATATGATATAATTTCTATGGGGAAAGTGGCACAAAACACGAAGAGGCTTAAAATAAGGCACACATTGGCTCATCCAAAGGCGACCCTTGATTCTCTGTAGAGAATCAGTTTCAAGTGACAAGAAGGTGAAACTTTTATCTATCTGTGCCTCTGAATGTCTGAGAAAGAATAGGGAGTTAGTTAGATCTGGTACTGAAGGTCACCCACCTGGGCAAGTTTATTATTTTTACCAATCTTTCTTTTTTTGTAAATGACTAAGATAGCCGTTAGCTTTTATTGTCCCTTTACAAAACTTTCCACCCTCTTCAGTTCAGCAAACATGCTTTAACCTATCCCCCCCTTAGGATTCACACATTGCATCAGAAGCAATGTGAACTAATCCCAGGCAACACTCTTATATCTTGATTCAATAGATATCTCTATTGTCACAGGGAGAGTGGTGTAGTATTGTGTGATTTTAGTCTCATTCTCAGTGCAATTCAAGAATAGTTATGAATTAAAGTAACCTACAATTGGAACATACTTTTATTTCTTTGCAAACAGCACAAAACAAAAATCCAGTAGTTTAGATAAAGCAATATTATCTACATGAACAGAATGTTCAAATATTATAAAAAAGTGCAAATACTGAAAATGGCAACTACACCAAAAAATGCCTTTTCCTCCCCCTCCCTGGCCACCTCCATAATATTCAGTAACTCTGGTCCTAACTACAGGTTACATCTACCACTTGATCGCCACAGGCAGGGGTCATTTCCTGCGGGAGCGCACAGGAGCAGAGCTCCGGCAGTAAGGCACCCAGGGGGCGGGCACATGCAACAAGCCCCGCCCCCTGCTCCTAGCAGCCCTCAGTTGGGCCATGAGAAGCAAGAAGCAGCTAGGTAAGTTGCAGAGCCCCCCCAGCCCGCCTTCAGGTACAAGCTCCCCCTCCTCTGTGAGGACAGATCTGCATGCCCCCCCCAATACCTATCAATCCAAAACAGTCCAGTGGAGCCTGAGCAGTGGGTGTTGCCTTCTGACACACTTCTGGTGATGTCAGGGGGTGTGGCATATACAAATAAGTTATGCTAATAAGTTATGCTAATGAGCTCCTGCACCTCTTTTTATACGAAATGACCCCTGGCCACAGGGATATGCAGCCATACAACAGCTGTGTACTGGTCCATGGTAGAGAAATAGCACAACAACCAGGATTTTCACTATGTTCTCCTATAGATGTTAGAGAACAGAAGACTGTATACATTTATCATTTTCTGCATCAGGTGTGTGTTTTAGTAACATGTACTTCTGTCCTGGCATACATATTGTTTAGGATACTACAGTGAGGATGAAGTTAAATCACAACGAAGGTAAAGTTGGGAATTATTAATTCAGAAGGAGATAGGTCTTAACACTGAGATGTCTCCTGGTCCAACCAACACTCCTGCCTGGAAGGTTGGCATGACCTCATCATATAATGAAAAGAGGCTTTGTAGAAATGTTGAAACATTTCTTGGCTATTTGCTAAGCTGTAACATGTACTCCCTTTCCCAGAGATCTCTGCTCAAGAACAACAGCATTGTTGTGTGCTAAAGCCATAATAATATTTTGGGATCCAATTTTTATTACGGTTAGCTAACATCTCCCCCAAGTACCATAACTGAGTCTCCCTTTGGTATATTCACCAAAGAGATCAGTTTACCTGCAAAAACAGCAGCCAAGTTTGTTATCATCTGAAAATCAATTCACCCAGTTACACACACACACATCTTTTTCCAAGAGGAACAGAAATGAAGGGATTAGAAAAAACATTAAAGAGATGCCCATATAATTTATTTTATATGGGTCAAGACATGAATCTTTACCTTCTGTTCCTGTTGTGATAAAGAATTTTCATTTCAAATGCTCTGGCCCTCAGAGCAATTTTGTAGCCAATGCTGCCCATTCCAATGATACCCAGAGTAGCCCCAGTGACATCATCTCCTAACATGTTACAAGGGAAATACTCAGTGTCTGGGGAAGTAGCCACCTGGCAACCTAAGTGACAAAGAAATAAGGGGGGGGGGAGAGTTATAGACAGACAAGGTTGTGACAAAAGGGATTTCTGTTTATATTTATGTCTGCTGTGATGCCGTTTTTAACATCTTTCCTTTGATTTTCATCTCTGGAAATCAATGGGATTTGTTTCCTAGGTGATAAATAAATGTCAGATAGACATACTGCAGTGATCATATTTACAAGGATATTTCACTCTTCTCAAAATTTGTACACAACGTAAGTAATGGGTACAAATGGGGAGAACAGCTTTTCATTCTCCAGGAAGACCTGAGTAGCTACAATTGCATCATTGTTAACCCAGGAACTTTAAAGCCCATGTTAACAGCTAAACTGAAATAATTCCTTGGCATATTATTTCCTGTTCAAACAGCAAAATTATTTCACAGCTCAGTCTTCAACATAGGGCACAATCGGCTGTGTCTGAAATCTATTTAATTTATCTGTATATATATATATATTATAAAGGCGCTGCGGTGGCTCAAGTGGTTAAGACGCTGAACTGTAGGCTGTGGCCAGTTCCTGCCAACCTACCAGTTCGAAAGCAAGAAATTGCAAGGAGATAAATAGGTACCACTTCAGTGGGAAGGTAACAGCGTTCCGTGCGCCTTGGTGTTTAGTCATGCCAGCCAACATGACCACGGAAATGTCTTCGGACAGCGCCTTCATATATTATAACCAATGGGAATAAAGTAGATTTGCAACTGTCTGCACCTCATGAAGGATTCAGTGGGAGATAACAGGGTCCTCCTACAGATGGTATACTCCAGAGGCAAATCTGTAACCTGGGCGGCTTTGAAAATTGGCTCCACAGGGAGTGAGAAGGGGCCATGAAGATTAGGAAATGCTAATACATTCATGAGAAACAAGAAAGGATGCCAAAGAAGACAAGCACTCACCTGAACTTGGGGCAATGACTTTGTGTCAGGGGTGAACACTATCTTTGTTCTGATTAATGGCAAACAGTGTCTGTAATTGTTTGACTTGTTCAAGGGGGGGATTATTTCAGTTGGGTTCAGGTTTTGAGGAGAAATATCGTGGTAAATATGCAAACTGTTAACCATTTTGTATGGTTTTCATCTTCGTTAGCCTGTCCTATCTTTTCTCTAGGATAAGAGGGAGGCTGTCTAGAACTTGTAGGGAGGAGTGCTCCTGTTGAGAAGAGGATGGTGTTACCAGCTTGATGAGCATAAATGAGCATATTGCAGTGGACTTTCCTTATAGACAAATGAGTGCTTGACCTCTTAATGTTCCTTGATGTCTGGAGGATCTCTCTCCTCTGCCTTTGGAATGCGACAGTAGTGTCACAGTGACACCATTCGAAATGTGCAGTTCATACTGCTGACACTGATAGAGGAGGAAAGACAGGAGTAGCTAGTCTGGAACAATTCTGGAGGACCCTAGGGATTTGCTCTGGGTTTTTTTTTGGGGGGGGGGAAGCAGTATTAGTGGTTGCTGCAGTAGCCTATTTGGGTCCATTATGCTCCACTTTCATATTTGTAAATAAACCAGTCTTACAAAGACTCCTTCAGAGGAAACTACAGGTGCTTCCACACAAATATTTTGCACTGCCTTGGCTTTTTTACTACCGCACTGTTTTCAGAAACATCCACAGGATGGCATCCTGAAAGTCTAAGCACAGTTATCCGGGTAAGACCCACCGAGTATAGTGGAACTTATGTAAACATACAAAGGAAAGGCTGGAAGCTCTGTCGTGTTCCCACTAGATTTCTCAAAATTTGGGTACGTTTAGGACTTTGAACCTTTTTGCCATGTGGACATCTTTGGCTTAGAACCATGAAATGAAAAGTTTTGAAATCGGTGATTTATAAACAACCTTAGGCTCAAGCTATTAGCTATAACAGTTGCGAAAACAACTCTTTGCAAATGAAAGCCATAAATATAAGTTTATACAATACAAAGAAACATTGTGTTCTGTTCATGACAGTCGTCGAAGGAACAGTAATTGGATTGGACTGGAATATGAAGGAACAGGTACAGCATGATAAATGTTACCTTCGACGAGTCTTCTAGCAGCTGCCAGCAGTAGGGCCACCCCAATGTCTGCAGTGCTGCTGCAGACCGCATGGGGAGTGTTGGCCATCCTGACTCCAAATCCTGCAATCAGCTTCAGATCCAAGTGGTCCACTCCTACCCCTGAACTTGCAACCACTTTTAAGTTAGGCAGGCTCTTCAAAAGTTCATGATCAATGACGGGTCTGTGCCACCACATATAAATTGCTTCGACTTTTATGCTAAGACAGGCTTTGTTTTCAAGAAACTCCTTCATGGTGATAAGGTGAAAATGTTTCTTCAGAAACGGCAGGTGTGCTTCTAAGACACCGAGTAATCCTCCCACTTCATCTACTAGTAGCACAGGCAGCTCTGGTTCTTCCATGATCTGCAACAAAAATGAAAGACAGCTCTTTTGTTAAACAACAGTCCTAAAGGGAGAACTTCTCAATAAGTATAGTTTTCTCCCCATCAACACCCCCTCGAACAGATAAATAAAAATACTTATCAATGACTGGTTAAAACTTAAGAAAATAAGATCAAGTGAAGAATAATAAGAATGATTGATGAAGTAGTTGTGAAATTGTAATGAGAAGATATGCATGCAGAATGCTAAATTGGAATTTTTAAATATTTTTGTATTTTTCTTTTCTTCCTCCTTTCCCCTTGCCCCCTTTCTGTATATAAACTAATTAAAAAATTCAAAAAAAATACTTATCAAGAAGATGGAGGGTTGGAGCCACCCAGCTTTTTCACTGAGTCACACCCAACTTGCCTCCTTACTACAGCCCCCATTTCCCATGGCTTTTGTCCATGCAGTCCCTGCAATCCTCAGCATAGCTTTTTGAGTGGCTGAGGACCCCTTCCCCATAACAACAGTGAAAAAGCTAGTTGCATCCAACTGGAATGCTGCTTCTCCAAGGTAAAAGGTAAAGGTTCCCTTGCTCGAAAGCCAGTCAAATCCGACTCTAGGGTTGCGGTGCTCGTCTCTGTTTCAAAGCTGAAGAGCCAGCGCTGTCCGAAGACATTTCTGTGGTCATGTGGCCGGCATGACTAAACACCAAGGCACACGGAACGCTGTTACCTTCCCACTGAAGTGGTACCTATTTATTTACTTGCAGCCTGTTAAAACACAAAGTGTGTCCTTGACCTATAAAACAGCACTTTGAGGATGATATCCATTATCATCCGTGCTGATCAGCTAGATTCTAAACTGGCAATTTCAAGAGAAAGCATTGAAAATAAACATCAGATCACCAAATGTGTAGACGGTCTATTGAAAAAAGTGATTCCTCAAAAGAAAATAGTAAGGAAGTGTTGAACTTTGAACGTTGGGATTTATCAAGTTACTTTTTAACCCTTTTTGCTTGCCAGGAATGGAATAAAAATCAAAGTATAGTGAAGTTCAATTTAGTTCATTGGGACAGCATTGGGCATATGTTTATTCCACTGAGACCAGACCGAATTTAAAGTTATCAATTTAGGCTGGGTGGTGGTGCCCATTGGTTCTATGGAAAATACCAACATCCTTGTGTTTTTGCTAAAAGCCTATCCCCTCTGGAAAATGAAAATAAATCTGACAGAATTAACTGCTTTGTATATTTCTACCTGATATTAATGTCAGCATTCTCTTAATAAAATCATGTAAACACCTACTGTATAAATGTTTTCAACAGCAACCTTCTTTGCTCATATAGCCTTTGCTCACAATTTGTAGTACAAATGTGGCAGTTCTGTAAACAAGCATTCTGTTTGGGAATATTAAGAGATTTGCCTTGCCTTCCCTCCCTCTAGGGTTGCCAACTCCATGATGGAAAATTCCTGGAGATATGGGGCTGGAGCCAGGAGAGGGCAGGATCTGGGGAGGTGAGGGGCTTCATCCAGGCTGTTGTCTCCTGAAATCCCGAAATCAGCTGTAATGCTGGGAAATCTCCAGGCTCAGGGTGCCAGCCCTGCTCACCCCCTTGCTGTTTCTGCCCCAATTCATTTTTAGTTATTGTATCATGGAAAGTTCACAGCTTTTCGCTTGATGAGAAATTTGAGATGATGGTCAGTCAGTAATGGTCAGCTGCCTATTTACATTAAAGACCAGAAACTGTGGTCCTAATCTAGGAAAACCAAACAGCATCAGAAGGCCGCAAGCCCACTGCTCGGTTCCGTGCTCTTGCTTGACGTAACTGAAGACGGCATCGGCATCCAACACAAACAATGCTTCAAGGATAGATTTCAGCCATTCATTTCAAATTTATGAAAAGTATTGTCTAAAATGATGTAACCTTTCTGTACTGTTCAGAAGAATCCATTTAAGTCTGTTAAGTAAAGCAGCATACTTAATATTCAGACACAGCTGTTAATCCATTTATGGGATTATTTGAATATGAATATTATAGAAATCCACTTTAAAGCCATGTACTATTTTTGGTACGACTAAGAACAACAATTATATTCTCAGCTACCGTACATTCTTTGTTGTACAAAGAATATGCATACACATCTATTTTGCAGAGATCAGGTGCTGGATTTATAGTTTTTTACGCACAATATTTAAACAAAGGATAGACTTAGGAGTTGAGGTTAAGCAACTTTTCAAAAGTTTAAACCAAAATACAAGTTTGAAGACAGCTTTGGTTTAAGCAGGCAGGATCTTCAACATCAGACCCTGTTCCATTCATATTTACATGTACAGAGGATGCCACCTTCTTTGTGTGGTAATGAGACAGGAGACAGCAGTGCACACGCTGGTCTTGGGATCAATGATGAATATTGTGTGTTCTCCAATGAGGCTTGCTCTGGTATCTTTAAATACCCTTTGCATAGGAACTATAAATTCTAGTTAAGCATGCACAGGATGAACGTAGTACTGCCATTTCCTGTTGATTCACCATTCTAGCTATTTTGTGTTTTCTTGAGAAAGCTTAGGTTTTGTAGGACTCAGGCAGTAGTCCTAAAAACACTTTTGTGGGATTAAGCCTCATTGGGAAAAAATGGGACTTACTTCTGAGTAGACCTGTTTAGGATTGTTCCTTCTTTGGCCTGATATTACACACAGAGAGAGATAATTTACTTTTTTACACCAAAACAGAGTGGTTCTAAGCAGTTCACACTAAAAGGCTAACTTGTTATCATTAAGGCCCTAAATAGCTTGGAGTTGGAGTACTTGAAGGACTACCTCCTCCTGTACTGTCCAGGCCACAAGTTAAGATCCTCTGCAGAATCCCTGCTTTCTATGCTCCTGTTTACAGAGGTGTGGTAGGTGGCAACACAGGGCAATTCTGCATCTAGCATTTGCTCCATATTTTCTCAACTGGAAGGGAAAAGTGCAGCTGAAAACCACATTCAACTACAAAGTCACCCCTGAACGGCCATAAAACAGCCATAAAACCATGCAGAAAGTACAATAAAATCCGATGATCAAAGAAAGTGAAAGCGGCATGGAGTGTGGAGGCTACCATAAAAATCTGATGATCAAAGGAAATGAAAGCAGCATGCAATGCAGAAGGGAATTTCTGTTCCAATGTGACAACAGAGGGAAAAGCCAATGCAGAATCAGCCACAGACAGGGATTTTCAGTGCTGGCACCCCCTTTGGAATGCTCTCCCCCTTGAGGCTCACTTGGCATCTACTTTGCTGTTCTTTAGGCACGAAGCCATAACATTTATTTACTTAACTTACACCCTGACTTCGTCCCCAGCAGGGATCCAAAGCAGTTTATATTGTTTTCTTCTCCTTTGTTTAATCCGCCTAACAAGCAAGTGAGTGAGTAGGGTTGCCAGGTATGAATTGGAAAATACCTAGAGACTCTGGGGGTGGATCCGGGAGAGTGCGTGGTTTGGGGAGGGGACAGGCCTCAGCATGGTTCAATGCCCTAGAGTCCCCCCTTCAAAGCAGCCATTTTCTCCAGGTGAGCTGATCTCTGTCAGCTGGAGATCACTTGTCAAAGCAGAAGATCCCCAGGCCCCACCCGGAGGCTGACAACCCTACAAGTGAGGTACGTTAGTCTCACAGAATGTGACTGGACCAAGGTCACCCAGTGAACTTCCATGGCGGAGTGGGGTTTTGAACCTGTGTCTCCCAGAGCTTAGTCTTACACACGAACCACTACACTGATTCCTGTCTAGCCTGAGAACTGATGTATGAATACCATTTTAGGCTGTTGAATGTTTGTGACACTTTTTTGTTATTAATATTTTATTAAGTTTTCTTATCCCAAAGTATGGAGCCTATCGAGTGTGGATGAATAAGATCAGAGCATAATTTGACCCAGTCAGGCTGAGATGTTGAGCGTTGTGTTTTAATGATATTTGTCAGGAGAGTTGCCTTATGGTATGTCGTCAAGTCAGGAAATCTGAATCCCCCTTGGGATGTTTGTGGTACTTTTATGCCCTATGTTTTTTATTATTGATAACTGTTGTGCTATTTTTATGATTTCATTGTAATGTTCTTAATTTATGAGCTGCCTCAAACAGGTGTCTGGACAAATAACATATAAATTTTCTAAAAACAAACATACAAACAGCAGAAGGAATTGGAAAGCCAGCCATTGTGCTCAAAGACTGTAGAGCAAATAGCTTTATTAAAATGTTATAACAATGTAACTACAGGACATAGTCACAATATGGGAGCACTTATTGTGAAACCATGATGGGAATTGGTTGTTATTGTCCTATTAAATTGCTACTTAGAACTAAACATCTTTTTGTTAATCGGCCACTGATTAACCATATTTTCTATCAAATTAAATTGGGGTTTGCTTCACTTGGAATGGGAAGATCATTCAGAATAGCCAGAATGTTTTCTACTGCTTCTTCCATCATCATACACAGGGCTTGCACAGCAGCAGTTCCAGTGTGTCACTGTGGAGTGATAATTACATTCTTCAGCTGTAGTAGCCAATGGTCTTTGCAGGGAAGGCAAGGCAGAATAATCACAGGTGACCTACCTACTGGGGGGTACGCAGATCAATTAGTATGGTACACATTCATATGAATGTACTGGCAAAGACTTCACAGTCCTAAGAAATGCTGGGGGGTACGCAGATCAATTAGTATGGAACACAGTCATATGAATGCACTGGCAAAGACTTCACAGTCCTAAGAAATGGGGCTTACTTCCATTGCACTGTCTTCACTGTTACATTTCCACATGGTCGTATGGACTGTAACACTCCATTCTTTTTCCATCTGCATTGGCTCCCAATTTGCTTCTGGGCCCAATTTCGAAGTGCTGGTATTGACCTTTAAAGCCCTATATGGCTTCAGACCAGCATACCTGAAGGACTGCTTACACTCATACGAACCCACCTGTCCACTCTAGTCATTTTCTGAGGCTCTGCTTCAGGTACCCCACTCACCTGAGGGTAGACGGGAGGCAACCTGAGAAAGGGCCTTCTTGGTTGTGGCGCAAAAACTTTGGAACTGCCTCCCCAAAGAGATTTGTCTGTTCTCCTTCTATCACTGTTCTCCATCCGCTCTGTTTTGCTTGGCCCTGGTTGCGTTATGAGTCATTGTGTTTATAAGTTTTATTACACACACACTACACTTGATCTTAGCCAAAAGGCCGAGAAGCGATACATGTTTTATTGGTCTGTTTAATTATTTTATATGTACTGTATTTTAAATCTTGCTTTGATGTCAAAACATTTCCACGTTCACTACTTTGGGGACCCTATTTGGGTGAAGACAGAATAGAAATGTTTTAAATAAATAAATAATACTCTGGTAAGTGAGGGACAAACAATAAGTGCACACATCCCATTAAAGAGATACCCCTTTGTCAGCTGTTAAAGCTACTGTTGCTGAGTTGGTGCAACAGTAAATATCTCCTCTGCTGATCCCATCAACCTATGGAATAAGGATTACCTTTATTTGGGAAGACTGGTGGTCCAAATCAAAGTGCTCATTGCCTTGCTTGTCTGTATGGAAGCCTCTCAAGCGAGATTATCCTAGGACTACGCTTTCTGAATTCTGTATTCAACAAAGTGCCAAATCAGGAGTGTCCCCCATCAGAGTACAGCCGATGAAAGACACACTATTTCATGTCATCGTTAATTCAGAATAAAAGAATGATCAAAAACTTTTTGTATTTTACCTTGGCAATGCTTCAGGGTCAGTCACATCCAAAGCTGCAACCTTAATGATCCCATTTTGTAGTACTTCTCCCAAAACTTCTTGATCAACTACTGCACCTAATATGGAAGGAATGATAATGTCAAGAATCAAGATAAAAACAGGCCTTACAGAAGCTGGCTCTCCATTACAAGACTCACATTCATGTTTACGTGTAAGTACATGCCAGTGTTCTATTGCTTTTACTCACAAATGTGCTCAGGGTTGCAGCTATACAACATTCTTCAGCAGTTAAGAGCCTTTCCAAATAATCCCTCATACATGGACTTTTAACATCCATCCAAAACATGGATTGCTGCAAAGATTTTGTGACTGCGATGCTTAACGTATTTATGTTGCTGTAGTTCGATTCAACTCCATGAAGCTATTACAGAGTAAGTAAATGAGCTGTGGACTAGAGTCTAATTCTGCCATTGCTCTTGTCTTCTTGTATTTACAACTAGATTAGGGAGTTGTGAAATCCACAGCTGCATCAATTACAATGTAACCACTGATTGTGTTACTTTAGCATGAACAACTAGTTGTCGTTCCCTTTTCTTGTTTAACCCTGGATGAACTCACCCTGAAAGCATTCTAGTGGTTCTACAGCAACTGGATCCTAAAAACAACTAAGGAATAGCTTATTACTTTTGTAGTCTGGAACCAATTTCTGATTATAAAATATAAGTACTTTTCATGATGGGTCTTCATATATAAACGGAACCATTCACCAATGACACTGTTTGCTAGGAATTTTGTTCTTGAAGTAATGTAAGAACTGATCCCACCTTGGATAATCCTTCCCTGAAGTAGTAAAGAAAGTAAAATGCTATCAGGTGACCAGTCACTACAACCACAACCACAGACAAAAACAAACAGAGCAACTCTCCCTTATTAATGTATGTTGCAATCCTGTAAATGCTTACTCAGGAGTAAATTCCAGTTGGCTCAACAGGACTTAATTTCAAATACGTGCATGCAAGATTGCTGCATTCATATTTGTAATCATTATGAATGTCTGAAATTTTGTGGTTTACTGATTGTTTCTTTATGCACTCAATAAAGGAATAAAATGACTACCTAAACAAATGAACCCTTGACCTGGGTAGCCCAGGCTAGACCACTCTCATAAGATTTCAGAAGCTAAGCAGGGCTGGCCCTGGTCATTATTTGGATGGGAGACCACTAAGAAATTCCAGGGTTGTGAGTGACATGGAGAAAAATGATGGCCAACCACCTCTGAACAGCTCTTGCCTTGAAAACCCCATGGGGTTGCCATAAGTCAGCTGTGACTTGACAGCCAAAACAAACAAACAAACAAAAAGAACATGGGCAGTTCTCTATTCTGTATCAAACTGCACTTAAAAAAAATGCAAATCCATTAATAAGATGAAGACTGAAACTAGCTTTCTTCTATCATAAGACGCAAGGAGGAGAGTAAAGAGTTTCCAGAAAGTCTCCCATCCAGGCTTTGACCAGACCTGGCCCTCGGGGCTTTTAACTGACATGTTTGAACCAAAACACTGGTCTGTGGATGAAGAACAAGATAAGAACCTCTCTGCTGAGCCTTTTTTTATATCCTTGTTTGTGAGAGAAGGCAGCTTAATTCTTGACACTCAGATGAGATTATTGGCTGCACCTGTATTTTGCTGATGCTGGACAATGCACACTCACACAAAATCATGAGAAAGGATGGAATGCATGCAGAATTAGATTGTGGAAAACAACAGAAAAATACTTGCTTACATGGGGAGCACTCACATATCCTACATCTGCAGATATTGATGAAGATAGCCATGGGTTTCATTAGTTCTAGCTCCTTTTTACCAATGAGCTTGTGCATCTCCGGTGTCAGGTTCACAATCAGAATCACAAAATCTGATCGCTGGAGCAGCTCTTCTAGGCTTTCACAATAAGTAACACCAACTACCCATTCTTCTTCCTCTTTTCTGGAGAAAAAAAGAGAAAGAATAATCACATGCTAATGACTCTCGGTGCTCAAACTGTTTGGGAAGTACAAATACTTGCCAGGGAGGTGCAAGCTCCTTGCCAGTTCCTTTCTGCAAGTGTTTATTTTGGATGAGAAGGCAGTATTCCTAGCCAATGCAACCCCTTCCTATTAGGTACAACATCTTCTGCTAGGCCATCCTGTTCCTCATCCTCCCTCTTGGCCTGGAGAGCCACCTGTAACAGAACTGCCACCCACACTTGGGTCTTAACCCACAGTTTAAGAACTGTCCGTGTTGCATAGGTTTGCCACCCTCTAGGTGGCACCTGGAGATCTCCCACTATTACAATTAATCTCCAGACAACCAAGGTCAATTCTCCTGGAGAAAATGGCTGCTTTGGAGAGTGGACTCTATGGTATTATACCCTGCTGAGGTCCCTCCCCTTCCCCAACACCACCTTCCCCAGACTCCACTCCCAAAATCTCCAGGTATTTCCCGACTCAGAGCTGGCAACCCTAGCTGTTGCATGATTATGTGCTAAAAACTTCAAGCACATAAGAGCATTATTGGACAAAGGACTGAAGTGGCATGGAAATAGATGGGCAACATAGTGAATATAGGTAACCAAGGCCTGAAACATTGGTGGGGCTGGTTGTTTGTTTGAAAACATTGGCAAACTGCAAAAGAAATTATCTTCCACAAGCCTTCTGGTGGAAGCCAGGATTAAGGCTATGCCTATGGCTGCTATAGAATCCAAAACAGCATGTGTTGGTTATTTTTACCCCAAAGCTGGAAATCAGTTTCAAATCCAAATGATTTACTCCTCCCAGATTTTCCGACCATCTTTAGGTTTGGCAGGTTTTTTAGGAGTTCCTGGTGAATGAGTGGTTTAGCTTCAAACACAAAAATAGACTTGACCTTTTCAAACAGCTCTTCCTTGTTTTGAAAAACCAAACCAGCAGTGATTGGTGTTAATTCCTGGAGCAGAGTCTTTTCAGGAGCAGAAATGACAAGATGATAGGGAAGTAAAGGACTTGCACTTGGAGGACAATGAACTCACCAGTAAGAAGCAACACCTGGGCTTCGAGGATGAGTCAGCTAATGAGGCAGATAAAAAGAACAGGCTGAGCAAGACTCAGTGTGGAGACAGTTTTGCATACTATATATGTTTGTGAGCTGAGGTTGTGTTCTTGCTAACCTGTGTGTGTGTTTATGGCTAGAGAGCCAGACCTTGCACTGGTTCTAAGCCCTGGAACAAACCTTTGGCTCCCTGATTTTGAACTCATTTGTAGACCTTACTCTTGCCTTCTTGATTATCATTATATTGGTGTATCCTGGAAACTGTGGTACAGTAACAATGCCATGGCTTTGCCCTGAATGTGACACTGTTGGCACTGCAGAAGTGTGTTGTCTGTGCATATATAGGCAACACTTTTTAATGTTTAAAATTTGGGGGGAAATGTAAACACTTGATTTTTCTGCAAACCTGGGCAGTCCCCCCAGTTTGCTGAAAGATCTGTTTAGTGCCTGTGTGGCCCTGATTCCTGGATTCAGCTATCTGCATAAGGGGGCCACATATTGCTAATAGTATATAGGTAATAAAGTGCCCACTAGTCCATAAAGAGATATACAGGGAAGTGAGAAGATGTGTTTGTGGTGGCTGCTTCTTCTTCCCACTGCAGGCTCACTTGTGAGTATCTTTCTGAAGTGTTCCAGGGCCTGCCAGTTTTGGCTGGTTGTGGGGCTTAGGATGAAGCTAGGAAAAGACTGAGAGGTTTCAATGGCTGTGATCGTTTTGTTAGGGCTGCCGCTGCGGATGGAGTACTTCCTCAGTTACCTGATGGAGCTTTGGGAAGGGGAGAACTATAATTATCAAATTAAGTATTGGCATCATAGAAGGGGCATCAAAAAATCTAGTATTAATTAGCAAAGCTAATTTTGTTCAACCCCTTTCTTGAGTAGCCAACAAGTTCCATTACCTCCATTCTCCTCTTTCATTCAGAGGCTATTTTGAATGAATCCGAAAACAATAAAGGAATTTGTGTTACATGTGTTATTAGGGTCAACTAAATGACACATAATTGCGTCAGCTTTGAAATTCACAAGAACCCTTAACCAGTCCAGATGTTACAAAATCCATAAATAGTTGAAAGCGCTACCTGTTTTAATTCATACCGTTTTAACTAATGAATTATTGTGTTTATGAAAAGTACTGAGACTTACTAGCGATTTCAGCTCTCATACTTTTATTTAGTTCGGAACAAGACAACTAGACCCAGCTTGCAGGCCAGTTTATATGTGCAACAATCCCACACCCAAAACACACCCACACAGAAGTGATTGGTCATGGGCTCTGGGCTGGGAGCCTATCCCTCCTATTGGTGGGAGCTAGGATCTGTTTGGCCCATTGTTCCTGAGAGCCAAGGTGCTGTGTGGTGACCTAGCCCCCCACTCTGTGGGAGACGGATACATTACAGTTTATATTATTTTATATTGTTACTGTGATCCGCCCTGAGCCCGTTGGTGAGGCGGGTGCAATAAAAGTTGGAACAAACCAATAAATAAAATCGTAGAAAGAGAAAGATTCCCCCCTCAAGATACGATCGTGAGACTTACACCAATACGGCTGACAATGGGTGTCTTCCAGCGCATGCGTGCTACTTCCCTGAAATTTCTTCCCTCACCCTGGATGGGGGGAATCAGTTGTTTGGGCGCTTTCAGTTTTACACAGGTGAGCTTGTAGAGCATGGAGGTAGAGATGACAGACCTGATTAATCAACCGTTCCCCCTCCCCCGTAGAACGCTCTCTGGTTCCGTGTAGACTGGACTGCATCATGAAAAGAGAAGTTACGAGAGATGGAAGAAATAAGACGAATAAGCCAGGGGCGGGAACGTCGACAAAATGTCTAGTGACTGACTGATTTGTTCGCAACGCTATTTTGAACGCAGATAAGACACCCCTCAGCAGCTATACCACCATCTAGTTCCCCCTTTCCTTTTTCTCTAATGGACCAGTCCTAATTCTAACGTGCTGATGCGGACTACTAACGTTCGTTCGGCTTTCCTCTCGGGATCTTGAACTTTCCGGAAGTGCGTAAGCCATGACAGTCAAATGAGAGCGACGCTTCCTCCTATGACGCTACTGTGCGCCACAACTGTGCGTTTTTTTTAATTTAACCCGTCCGGTGTCGTCTGTTTTCTTTTGTCGCGCGCGCCCACGTGGCTGTGGTGGGTGTGTCTGACAACCGTTATAACCTATATTTGCCTTTGGTAAGTGGTTGGGATGTTACGAGGCGAGGAGAAGGGCAGAGTTCGAGAAAGGATTTCTAGCCTGGACAGGTGGAAAACAGTGAGGCTGTGCCGGGGTGGGGAGGGCAGTGGGCGGGTTTAAGGGAGGATAATTGGTTCTTTGTAGAGGGCAGACGACCGTACAAAAGTATATGCAATAGTTGGCTTGGGTCATCTCCAGAATCTGTCTTCAGTGCTTCGGTCTTTCCACCTGAACTTGCTTGCACTATTTTGTTCTGTGTGATCAGTCTTGAGTCTCAGTGAGAAACGTGGACTACAAATAAAAGCAAATAATAAAATAAATATAAATGAAACAGGCTGAGGGAGCATGTGTAGAAATCTTGCAGTGTCAGTAAATAACACACATATTATGATCGTCCCTAGTGTTAGAGCTGCTAAATGCTGCTCAGACAAGTTAACTGATGCAAGGGCTACTAGTGATGGGTTTCTTGTGTTTTCACTTATATAAGAAGTGCTTTGCTAGCTGGCGCATTCTGTCAGATGTTTCCACTGTGGGAATACAGAGTTGTGGGATTCACAACAACAGGCAGCTTGAATGTGTGGCATTTGTACCAGGGGCTTTTGATATGTAGCTCAGTCTTCTGACTGCAGCAGCATACTATGCTGCTCTGGAGGAAAGATCTCCCAGTTTGGAAGCTATGATAGGCAGGTGATCTTGAGCTGTTGCCTTTCTGGCTTCCATGTGTCATTCCTACTTTGGTCAAAGGTTTTTGGCTGCCTTCGGGTGTTTTGTTAAGTTACCTTATACCTGTATGTGCATGAACTTGACTTGTTGCTAGGCTTTCTTGTATTCTCATTCAGAGTATGATGAAGAAAATCCTGGTTTAAAACTAACTTTGGCCCCGGTCACACGGCAAAGTTGCCACGGGAGAGGCATGGATGGTGGGCGGATTATCCGGGCGCGATCACACCCCAACATCTGGAAAGTGGAGCACACCCGTGGTTTACCGCTGAAAATGCGTGTTAAAAAAGTAGTACCTCCAAAGTACTGGTAAACGGTTTGCCACGGGCTGCCTCCGGATGCCTGTGGTGTGTTCACGCTGGCGCGCGGCTTTCTCCTCTGGGCCCTTGCATATGTGCCGGCGCCGAGGGAAGGACCCGTGGTGTGCCACCAGTGCATCTGATCATGTAATTGTTGATCAAACTGTGCCGGGGCAATTAGCTACGCCTCCCCCCCCCCGCGATATCCAGCCCATGTGACCGGGGCCTAAGTATGTTAAATTATCTGCTCCCCTCCACTAGCATTCTAAATCAGGGTTTACTCCAGTTACAGAGTCCCATTGGAGGAAGGGGACTAATTCCAGTTAAGTGTCTGCATTTTTGTGCCACAAATAACTGGGGTTGTTTAAAATGTGGTTCTTTTATTATGCTTCCTGTGAAAAGGGAGGAGGAAGAAGTGAGGAGCCTGTGTGAACCAGACAACAAGCTAGGTGTGAGCACATGTGGGCTTAATGTCCACTTGATGTGATGCCTGAATGCAGCCTAGATGTTACACAGTGTAGTTTTCCTTAAGTCATCTATGTCTGTATTGTTCTTCATCCTTATTTCTGAAGGTTTTGTAATAGTGTGGTATAAATAGTACCATCTTTGTACATGAATCTGAGAAGTGAAGCAGTCTGCCATAGCAGAAATTACAAATTGCCTTGTGGCAACTGAAAACAAACATTTAATTTGAGGCCACAATGAATTATGTTTAGAAGCTGAAAGACTAAATTGTTTTTCTCCATAGATAGTATTACATTTATGGATGTAGTGATAAAAGAAAGATGTAGCACTCACTGATAAACCAAGACCAGAATGGGGGATACGTTTTCCTTTCAGTAGCCTGTTAAAAGTGCATAAGATTATTCATCATGGATTGGTTACTCTTTAAACGCTTTTTCTAAGTATATTTTATATGGTGACTTTGGGCACCATTAGCAACTGTGTAATATTCATCTGTCAGTTTGGTATGTGTCAGCTATAGGTGAAGTGATCACTCTATTGGAGATTGAAAATAGGAAATCAAGTGATGGTTGGGGTGCATATATAATATTTTTATAAGTGATACAAGAGTTTTGGGGTGGTAGACTCTCCTGCATCCCAAAATTATTTCAATATGAACTTTAGGAAAGTTTGGCCTGGTCTTTAGGACAAGTAGAAGACAAAGGGGTTCCTGAGCTTGTTATGGGATATGCAAGAAATGGGTTTGGGCTTTGAAAAATAAACAGTATTGATCAAGAAAATAGGTTTATATTCTTGATTATGTTCATTATTATAATGTATTTAATGGACAGATAATCTGTTAACATCACCCACAACAGAAAACAATTCTAAATCCATAAAGCTTCTTGCCCGACAGGCGGTATCAGCAACCCTGACCCTATACAAACAAGATGTAGCAATTTATGTGAAATAAAATACAGATGGAATGAAATCTTGCCTTGATTTTGTTAAGAATTATCCAGATTATGAATTATTGCATGCTTTATCCTTTTACAGGTCTTGCATAAGTTCTGAAAATGTCGTATATGCTTCCTCATTTACACAATGGCTGGCAAGTAGACCAGGCCATTCTTTCAGAAGAAGACCGTGTGGTGGTCATTCGCTTTGGGCATGACTGGGATCCTACTTGTATGAAAATGGATGAAGTTTTGTATAGTATTGCTGAAAAGGTACGTTGTTCTATTGATATTGATAAACTGTTTTAATATTGTTTGATTAATATACATTCAAATAATGTTTTAAACCCAGGACACCCAACATAAAGGTAAGGTTTCACTTGTTAGTTATCCTGTTTACATTCTTAAGAAGATTCTATTGTGTTGTATACAAGAGGTTTTTATTTAGAATATTTTTGAGATAAGAGTTTGACAACATTTCAGGCGCAAGATACTTTCCTTATACCCCAAGGACTTCCAGAAACATAAAGCAATTTAGTTTCAACTTACTTGGCAATTAGCCATAGTAGTCTGTGTAGAGTAAATTATGCAAGTTCTTAACGAAAAAATAAGGTATTACTCACATACTCAAATTTACATAGGCTTTTACCATAACAGAAACTACATTGAGCATATTGGCAAAAGGGAAATTTAAAGTTTGTAGATTTTGTTAGTAACTATGATTTAAATTAATCCTATATACTGAGATAAAGTGCAATAAAACAAATAGTATAACAACCTTTACTGATTTTGCTGACACAATACATCCATTTTTCTGATCAAGTACTCTTCTAACTTATTCAGATGGGTAGCTGTGTTGGTCTGAAGCAGAACAAAGTTTGAGTCCAGTGGCACCTTTAAGACCAACAAAGTTTTATTCTCGGTATAAGCTTTTGTGTGCACACACACTTTTTTATTGTATCTGAAGAAGCTTGCATGCACACAAAAGCTTATACCGAGAATAACGTTTTGTTGGTCTTAAAGGTGCCACTGGACTCAAACTTTGTTCTTCTAACTTGTGTTTATATATTTTTCTTATATGCCAGAAGCAATATCTGTTCTAGCTAGAGCAGAAGTTATAAGCTTTCCTAATAGATGAAAAGGAATTTACTACCCTGTTTCCCCAAAAATAAGACCTACCCCAAAAATAAGCCCTAGCAGGATTTCTATGCATTTGTGGTATAAGCCCTAGTGTGTCTTCTTGAGAAAAAATAAATATAAGACAGTGTCTTATTTTCGGGGAAACACGGTAGTAGAGGGTTAATACTAGGAAGTAAGTAAAACAAGGAAAAATTCATGGTATGCCCTCCATATCATATTAGTGTCTAATTGATGGCTTTTGAGCTTCTGTAGTTATTATTGCTTTTAGTGACCCCTTTTGTTTTATTTGAACCTTTTGTAGACTAGTGGTTTTCTAACTTTCCATAGTACCTCAATTGCTGAGAGTCCTTTCCCTGGATGCTGTAGAACATTCTGGGCATGTTTTAATAATGGCAGCTATTTCCCATGGTCGGCCTCTGGGGCCTCATTTTGCTGTGTAAAACTGAGGTAGTGTTCTGAAACACACTTAAAATTCCTGTGCAGCAGCACATTACATGGAAAAATTGGTAGTAATTTTCAAGCTACTTCTGATATAATTGATCTGCTATTGTTGATCTTCTCATTGATGGTCTTCAGATATGTTTGGAACTCTTGGAACACAGTTTGAAAACCACTGAAAGGAAAAGAGGATTCATTTGCAGGCATAATACTAGTTTGGTCAGTGAAGAAAGGCATGGCATTATTTTAAAGTAGCTGATACGCTAAAGTTGAATTCTTGTGCCTAGTTTGGGGCTGCCAGATCTGGCTTAGGAAATACCAGAAGAAATACCAGGAGATCTTGGGGGGGAAACTGAAGAGGGTGTGTTTGAGGAGGGGATGGACTTCAGTGGGTTATAATGCCATAGAGTCCACCTTCCAAAGCAGCCATTTTCTCCAGGTGAACTGATCTCTGTCACATGGAGATCAGTTGTAATAGCAGGACATCCCCAGCTACCACCTGGAGGTTATACAAATGTGAGATCATGCGATGGGTTGTAAGTAAACAAAAAACGGTGATACTATTGTGCAATCTGTTCAGTAACTATTATTAAGTATTTATATTATGATACAAATTACAAAACACATTCCAATATAAAATATACAAATATTTAAAGTGTCCTTGTAAACCAAACTGTCCATGATCAAAGTTCCTCTGAATAATACAGCTTGTAGTAGCTTAACTGAGTCCTTCTTTGACGTAGAGGTAAATTATTCCAAATAATTCTGACGGGCCCAGCTCCACACCTGTGTTCAGTCCTTTATCAAGGTACCACGACAGTCACTATAAACCCTGTAAACATATAACTAAAACACTCTTGGGAACTAGGCGTTGTTACAATACATATCAAAATTTCATACTCACAAAAAGTTTTTCCTTCTCTGCTTATTCAGTCTGTTTTAAAGAGTGTTTTACACTGCAGACCTCGAAATCTCTGTTTACATTCAGCTTAATGCAGCATTAGTGCTTAGTTCACTCTGCTGGTTTCTCATCTAATCTAAGACACTAATTGGTTACAGGTGGCAACGTGTATCCCAGCTATTGTTAAAGAGCCTGAAAAATACCTTGAGCACCTTGCTGAATCTAAAATACAATTGTACAGTTGTATACCTGGAGGTTGGCAACTCTAGCCTAGTTTGGTATGTATATCAAATAATAAATAGGAAGATAGTACAGTGTGGCTTTCATTATTCATTGGCTAGTTTCAAATCAGAGATGTATAAGCATGCTATAGAGTCTTGGTAATATAACCAGGGAAAGACTGTAGTGCTGGTACTGTCATTAAGTAAGGCCACAGCACAAAGAAAATGTAGATAGTGGCTGCATCCCAAGGCTCCTTTCCATTTCTGATAGTCATTTATGCATGTGAAGAGGGAACAGCCATTTTCACTCATTGCCCTTTCTCACTGCCACCCTCCCTCTTCAATCTCTGTTATGTTTCAGAGGGTCCACTGACCCATGAGACTCCACATTGGGGGACAACATGATTGCAGTAGGGACGAGAAGGGAAATGATGTTCTGTGCTGTGCAGGTCCACTTAGGGAGTATTTTAATGAGTTTTTTTAGTAACCTAGGTGTAAAGTCAGAACAGTTATAAAATCCATAAAACAAAACAGTCAACGGACAAATTAAAAAGCAGTTAAACCTGTCTGTTTTGATTACCACAAGGTGTTAGAAAACAAAAATACATTCCAAGATGTAAATAAGCCAATCGTATTACATCAAAGCATTGGTGAAACAAAATATAATAATTAAACAGGCAGCACCACTAGCTATGAAAAGCTTGGCAAACGGGGTCGTCATCTCCTGCTGTCCAAAGGACAATAAAAAGGGCACCACTGTAACATATCAGGGGAAACTGTAACTGGCATATATCCAGAGAAAATATACAGTAATAACAGTTGAAGCCTAATAACTATTAAGTATTCTGACACTTCAGAAGAGGTTATCACTTTATTTAAGATGTTGGGAAAATTTGTACACATTGCTTTTGTTAACGATTTCTTTGCAAATCAAAGGACAGGGTGTTCTTGGAAATTCTGTTGTAGGGAGTAGGCAGACATATTGGCATATAATGAGGGGGGGAAAAGAGCAATATAACTTTCTATTTAAACATCTCCCTCTGCAGAAATAGCAGATTAAAGAGGGTGATCGTTCGTCATCCTCTTGCTTACGAGTCCAGTTGGGATTTCGCTGCCATATAAAGAGTGAGTAAACAGTTCCCATTGTACCATGTATTCATAGTAGAACGTCATACAGATCTATTGTCATGCTAGTTGGAGAAAATGCAGTAGACCTGAAACATTAAAGTTGCCAGCTTCCATACTGGCAGTATTTTCCCCATAAAAATTGGCAACTCTTTTCCTCCATTGCAAGAGGTGTTTTTTCTCTGATGCAGTATATGTATTGTCTAATGTGACATTAACATCCTTATCCGTAAAGGTGACAAAGTTTGGCGCAAGCTTGACATTTTGTCCAGTTCACCAAGAAATACTTGCCAATAGGTACACCTAAAGGGAAGCTAAGGTGTGTTTTTGTGTTGTACTGATTTACTTATATTTATGTATTATGCTAGCAAAATGTGGCCCCATTTGAGGATGCTTAAAATCCAGAGATTGGAGTGGTGGACGAGGTGGGTCTTCTGACAAACCTGAAAAATGCAGAGTACCTGTAGCTTTAATAAAAAGATACCCTCAGTGGCTGTTGCTAGGCAACCACAATAGTTTGGCTGGCATTCCAGGTATGGTTTCTGCTTGGCTTCTGTCAGTAAAAGATGGGGGAGCAGAGCCCTTTTGGGGGCTGTTTTGGCCTTTGAGGGAGGACTCATTGGGGCTAGATGTGGCAGCAGCCATCAGGCAACTTGATACCACTTGAATTGCATTATTCATCCAAGCTTGGCTGCTTGCTACTGTTCAGCAGCAGCCACCCCAGCCACCTTCTGCTGTGGAAACTTACTGGGTGACCTCGGGCCAGTTATACACTCTCAGGCTAACCCTACCCTAGAGGGTTCTTGTGAGGATAAAATAGAGGAGAATGATGTAAGCTGCATTGGGTCTCCATTGTGGAAAAAGGTAGGATATAAATGAAATAAATAAGATGTGGGGGTCAGATAAGAGGTAGATTGGTGGGTGTGAAGGAGAGAAGGAAGCAGGGACAGGTGAGGATATGAGAGATGCTGGGATGAGGCAAAGGGCAACTAGTGTAGGGAGGGAGTGCAGGGCACAGTGAGGTGCCCCTTCAAGGTCTCCCACAATGCAAATGGGCCCAGTTCAGCTGGCACCATGCAACTGGGCCATAGTACTCCTGGACAGAGGCTGCCAGGGAGAAGGAAAGCTGAAGACCGGGGCGGGGGGGAGATAAAGGTAGGGTTGGCTGATGGGAGGAAAGGACAAGGAGGAAACAGGAAAAAGGGAAAGGCTATGGGAGCTTTCAGGAAAGGGAAGGAGGATGTAGTAAGAGAGGAGAAAATCAGATGCTCTCCGCAAATCCTTGCAGGTCCCTGACTTTTTTTTTTTTTTTTTAATTTCCAAAATATCATAGAATACAAACTTAGTCAGATTGAAATTACAAATATGACCGCAATAAACAAAATTCATTCTGGAACAATTAACAACAAAGAACATTCAATCTATACTCGTTATGAAACTTTCAAAAC